CCATCATTACCATCATCACTGTTATAATGTTCACCATATTGACCACTTACTGTGTGCCCCACACACAAATTGATCTATTTCTCAAAACAACCATATAATTATAGGCAGTTGTCTATATGTTCCATTGCACAGTTGAGAAAACTGAGGCACAATAAATTAGGCTTAAGTTGACCAAGAGCCAGTAAGTGATAGAGTGGTTCTGCCTGACAGCACAGGGGTTTCCCGGGTTAAGCGTCGTTGTGGGTGCAGTGACGTTTGTATATTGCTGGTGTGACGCGGGTCCCATCACAGGGGGCTTCTTATTGGATATGTCTGTTGGTGAAGAGCAGCCGTGTCACGGCCTTGTCCAGGGGGTGCTATGAGTCAGACTGAGCCCTGATAAGCATAAAGAAAATAAGACTTTTTGGGGACCCTCCTATGTGCCAGGCAATGTGCCAGGAAACACTGGGCCCCGTGACTCTTGAGACAAGCCCCAAGATGCATGTCTGCGGGCCTGGCCATCAGTGTGCTTAGCCAGCGCGAGGGTGCACACTGCAGGGGACAGGAGACTCCCTCTGCTTGCTGCCCAGGAACCGCTGACCAGTGCCTGCTGTGTCATCTCCCAGGGACAGAGGTGGAGAACAAAGAGCTTGGCCTGAGACCGCGGGGGGTCCTCAGATGCTCGGATGGGTACTTGGCAGATGTACCAGGCCCTGGGTTGGTTAGCAGAATTCACTTGAATTGGAGAATTGGTCTTTGACCTTTTGAAAGCGACTGGCTAATGAATTTGAATAAATTTGGATTACTTTAATAAAGCACATGCTACGGAATGCGTTCTAAGGGCAAAAGGGAGGAGTGAAGGGCCTCACAGTGACTCCAGCCCATGGCATAATTTATTCCATGCACTTTCAAGTCACCGGAAGCACAATGGGAGTCCTCGACCATGTTTTGGTGCGGTGGGGGGAACACACAGAAAAGGGAACTTCTTCCTGCTGGGTTAGTCTCATCCACCTTATTAAAGGATCTAAACTTATTTTCCCAACCCCAGTCAGAGTCTGACCACCCAAAGAGGAACCTTTTATTAATAATTTATAAATACATCCTCCCAGTCTTCTTTCTCTCTTAATATTTTTATGAAGAAAAGGAAAACCAGAAAGAAGCAGTTTAGGGTTAAGAAGTGTTTGTGGGAAGGAGGCGCCCTCAGGGAGCCCGAGGTGGAGTGTGATGGTGTGTGAAGTGGGTCATTCTGTGGTCGAATAAGTGCGGACTAAAGCTGCACCTTGCCTGTGACCTTGACAGCTACTGATTCTCCAGGCTTCCATCTGCTGTGTTTAAAGTGGAGATCAGGGTATCTCCCTGTCAGGGCCCGTGAGAGCTTAAGTGAGATGTGCTGTAGGAAGTACCTGGTGGGTCCTTCAGTCAGGGTGGTCCCTCCGCTGGAGGGGGCTTGGGACCAAGGCATTGCCCAGAATGGACGTTGGACCGTATGCGTGTACCCGTGCGCACACACAACACGGATACAGAGCAGAGCTGGGACACAGCTAAGGAGGACCAGAGGGCCCACTGAGAGGCTTTGGAGCCAGAGCCATGTGCTCAGCCCTCTGTCGGCTGGTGAGCTGTGCCTGCCGTGACATCCAGACCCTATCTAGGACACCCCCCACCCCATGGTGGCTTTGGGGCAGTGGAGGCTCCACATTGTCACAGGCACCCTAGGTCAAGCAAATGCTGGGCTGCAGCCAAACAATGGGGCAGCTCGCTGCCACTGGAGTGTGGCTGGTGGCAGTGCTGTCCTCTCAGCACGGCCATCAGCTGGGTAGGCACCGTCTGCTGCAAAGGCTCTGAGATGTTCCTGCCAGCTGGGGAGTCATGCTTGCAGACAGCCTGAGCACCCTGGCCCTGGGAGACACTGGTGGACAAGGGGGCGTTCCGGGCACAGTGTGCGTGGCTCCCAGGGATCCAGGTTTGGTAGGAGAAATGGCTTTTTGAAAAGGCGGGCAGCATCAGCGCCTCCAAGGCAGCGCTCCTCGGGCATCGTAAGCTTTTACCGACGTTGGGACCTGAAGGAGAAAAGATGCTCTGTAAATATGTTCTCTCGGACTGAAAATTAACTTCTACATTTTCCTGAGCTCGTGGGAATTAACACTGCCATTAGTCTGTAATTTGTTTCTCAAAATTCTTCTATTTTAAGAAATTAAGCAGGAGGAGTAGAGGGTGAAAAACAAAAGAGAGGGAGGGGGAGGGACCAGGAGGAAATGAGGACACCTCAAGGCAGGCAGAATGGGGCAGTGAGGGGGAGGAGCAGGGGCGGTGGGAGACGGCCTGAAACCCTCGCTTTTCATCTCTTTCCTCCCTGTGGTTGTGACGGTGATTTCCCAGCTGAGAATATCTTTGCCTGCCAGGGCTGTGTGTGCTCTGATGAAACCACGGTGTTCGCAGTAATGTCGGGGATGAGAAGGGCAAGTCTCAACGAGGCACGATGTCCAGGGCTCCTGCTGGTATTCACCACGCAGTGATCAGCCGGACCTGGCCCGCATCTCTGTCTCCAGGAGGTTAGAGGGAGCATCCTTCCCATCTGGGCTCTGTTCCCCGTGCTCAGTCTTGCTGGTTCTGCACCTTTTGTAAAAGGATGTTGCCTAGAGCCTGAAATAGACAGGAGAGCCTATTCTCAAGGCTCTGACCTTTAAGGGTGTAACACTTTCCCATTCATACAGAGATAAAAAGTTGCAGAACAGAGAATAACATTTGTCTTGTTGGTTTACAGGGACATTGTGACCTGACCCATATGGACAGCTTCAAGAACAAAGGATTCTGACACCAAGAAGTTTGCAACCACCAACCATAACTCCTTCCCTTTTTAGTATAAAAAGAAGGCTGAATTCTGACTCGGCTCTCCAGGACATTAGTCTGCCATCTTCTTGGTCTGCTGTCTTTCTGAATAAAGTTGTTATTCCTTGCCCCAGCAGCTCACCTTCTGATTTATTGGCCCCTCATGCAGTGAGCAGAATGAGTTTGCACTCAGTAACACTCAGGGGAGCTGGGATCTGGCTTCTCCAGTGGATGTGATGCCCCCAGGTGTGAGAAGCTGCTGGTTCCTGACAGCTCCCATTCACTAATTTCAATGAAACTTAGAATCATTTCCATTAAAAAAAAAAATCACCAGGGTCAGTCGTAGCAGGTGCCTACTTAAGTGTTGGCGATATATTCCCAGCTGCTGTAGCAGGTGAGGAATGAGCCCTGAGTGGTTTATTTGAGTTCAGTGCTATCTGAGAAAAGCATGTGCAAAGGCCCTGAGGGGAGCTGCTCCTGGCTTGTTTGAAGAGCAGCAGGCAATCAGGAGGGGAGTGAAGTCTGCAGGAGAAGAACAGGGGATGTGCTCAGGGGCCCTAACTAGGGGGACTCGTCCACTACTCTGAGTGAGGGGGCAGGCAGTCTGGCGTGGAGTGAGGAGGGCCCTGGTCTGACCTGAAATGCAGAAGGACCCCCTCCGGCCACTGCCCTGCGGGGAGACTGTCGGGGCAGGGTGGAAACATAGAAGTGCGTTAGGAGGCACGAGATGAGGGTGGGCTTGACCAGGATAGAGGAGGAGCAGGTTTACAATATTCGAAGGGCAGAGTTATCTGGATTTATTGATGGAGCAGATGAGGAGTGGGAGAGAAATGGGAGAGAACCTGGCAGTCGAGGCTGATTTCCAGGTGGTGATGGAGGAGTGCTGCTGGGGGAGCAGCAGGTCTGGGAGGAGACGGGGATGACAAGGACCTGTGATGGAGACGGCATGTCCAGGCTGGGCTGTGATGGTGGGCGGAGTGGTGGCATTGCAGTCATGCCTGCCCGGGTCCCTGTGTGTGAGCAGGGGAGAGAAGGACGTCCCTGCCGTAGGGACCACACCGAGTCCCCCTGTTTCCAACTGTCCCACTGAGTCATAGACCCACCTACCGCCTCTTCATCACGCAGCTCTAAGCCTTCCCTGAGGAGGATCTGGGAGGCTCACAGCTCTAAGACCGGCTCCCCTTGGAGTCATATCACTGTCCTCGGTTTCTCGGTCGGGCCATTTGCAGCCTTGCGCCACATCGTGGAGCCTTCCTGGTTGCGCCTTTGCCCACAAGCGGGTCCCTCACTGCACTAGGGAAGCTGGGACACTAGCTCTGTCCCCACCCCCGCTTTCACCTGGGGTGGCCCCCAGCCTCGATCAGTCAGCCTTCAGTCATATTTATGCCAAGACTGGTGACGGAATGTGTGTGTATTTCATTTGCATCCTGGACCAAGGCTAAAGCTCTTGTGAATTTTGGTCCAGAAGTGGGTACTAAATAGAGAATAAATGCCCAGCTGGTTGCTTCCCCCTAGACCACGCCCTCCTCCCCCAGATTCTTTTTCTTTTTTTAAATTGAGGTACAGTCAGTTTACAATGTTGCATCAATTTCTGGTGCACAGCACAATGCTCCAGTCATATATGTACGTACATATATTCCTTTTCATTACAGGTTCCTGCAAGATATTGAACATAGTTCCCTGGGCTGTACAGTAGGATCTTGCTGTTGATTTTATGGTTACTGTTGCATTGTCACTTGTAGCTTTTGCCTTGTGTGTTTAACCCCCAACATTTCTACAGATCTTGCAGCATTTCTCCACAAGCCCCTGGTCCATCGGCTCTGAGGCTTCCTTCCCAGCACTTTGCTCCATTCTGGTGCTGGGGCCCGTCCCCTGTCCTTCTGGGTGACTTCACCTCCCTCTTGGTTGGACCTACTGTTATCCGATCCCATGTCTTCACATTTCTTGCTTTTCACGCTCACTTTGCTGGAATCTATTAATGATAATTCCCTAAGAAAGGGAGTTTTCGAGTGAAATTCTTTTTTTTTTAAAGCATTGCATTTCTAAAAACATATTTATGTTGCCCTCACATTTTCTGATCGTCTGGCTAGATAAAGAATTATACAGCTGTTCACTTCTAGTCCAGCCTCACAGGACTGCTCCTTCGCCTCCTGGGACCCTGGGACTCCAATGCCTGATGCTGCCGTGACATTTGAATCATTGTGCATGACGTGTTCTCTTGTCCAGAAGAATCGTTTCTTTTTTTGACTCCAGCACATTTCTCTGCATTACTTTCTGGGTGATTTTTCTTCCCTTCTTTTTATTTGTTCTACCTTTTGGGAACTTTCATTGGTCAGTTGTGGGAGCTTCTAGGTGGTCGATCGCTATTTTCCTGATGTTTCCTTCTACATTTGGAGACTTTTTTTTTTGTATTTATCTTTCTGTTAAACTGTTTATTTTGGCAAAGTGTGTGTAGTATTCCGGAGTATTTTCTTATTCCCTAATTTTTTTTTAAATGGCAGCCTATTCTTTATCTTTTCAGACCTCCCTAGAATACAAACGGGACCTTGCTTTCTCTCTCGCCCCCTTGGTTTTCAGCAGCGCTGGAGCCGACCACCCCCCAGCTGCTGGCCTCTCAGCCCTCCGCCCCCATCCATGGCCACCTCTTCCTGTCTTTTCTCCTGGTCTCTCTTCCTCTTTCTGTCCCAGCAGGGAAGTGTTGGAGCCCCTGAGAATGTGTCCTGGTCCTCTTGTCTCCTCCATTTCACTCACGCCCTCTGCAGAGCCTCATTCTGTTACCGAAGGCAAGTTCCTGCACCCGCCGCACCCTGAGGCCAAACAAACTGAAACTTTGGAGTTTGGAGCAGAGAAACGTTTATTGCAGGGCCGAGCAAGGAGGATGGGGTGGCTCATGCCCAAGAAAACTCCGAACTCCCCAAAGGGCTTCAGCAAAGCCTATTTAAAGGCCGGGTGTGGGGGGAGATCACAGGTACACGATCAGCTTGTGCACGATTCTCTGGTTGAAGCTGAGGTAACAGGGGTGCCATCAACCCCTATGCACCGGAAGGTCTGGGGGCCACGTTCTCTTGATCATCAAGTAGTTAATTTCTTCCCTTTGGTGGTGGTTTTAAGCTTCTGAAAAACTCAGGAAATATGCATGAGATACTATTTTCAGAGAGGAGCCACAGCAGAGGACATGGGGAAGGGTCTGTCCCAGGAAGGCCCCACAGGGTCCTGCTCAGTCACAATTCGACATCATGGTTTTGAGGAAATTGGTGCAGACTGATGCCTCTAGAGCGAACCTCCAGCCTGGGGCTCCCTCCTGAGCCCCGGACTGGGCACCTGACTGTTTGTCTCATCTATTCTTGGATGTCCAAGGAGCATCACCTGCCCTGATCCAATCCCTCCCATGTCAGCCAAGGGCCACCCTCTTTACTGCTGGCCAGGGAGGATTCTGGGATGATTCTGCAACCCCTACTCTTTTTCATACTTTGAACCCAATCCGTCAGCTAATGCTAGCAGGCTCTTCTTTGGAGTTGTGTCCAGAACTCCACCTCCTTCCTCTCCTTCCCTTGCCCTCCACCCCTGCTCACCTGGACGGCAGTAGCTACTTCCTAACAGGTCCTGCCTCCTCGTTGTTCACGTGGGGACTTCTAAGTGTCTTCTGTGGCCCTTTAGAGCCCCTCAGTTATGTATCTGCCCAGCCTGCCCCAAGCCATGGCCGGGACCGTGTCTTGCTCACTGAGGTGTCTCCAGCCCTTAGGTCTAAGGACCCACAGAGAGGCCACAGTCACGTTTGCTGGTGCTGCAGCCATTTTTCCTTGACAAGAACTCCTGCTTTGTTCAGTGGCAGCTTCAGCAAGGGGCTTAGGGGACGGTGGGCCTGCTGACTGATGGGGGCTTCACCATTGGTTCAGATCCATCCTGGATGGTCCCACCTCTTTCTGTCAGGGACTGGTTCGGGGTGGACGTGTAACTGAGCTCTGGAGAATGAGACCTGAGGGGTCAGTGGGGGAACTTCTGGGAAAAGCTTTTCTTCCCTCATAAAACCATTGGGCTTCACAGGAAGAAGGCCGTTTCTGCCGCTGTCTGCCTTTCTTCCTGCTTTCTGCTGTGTGAGGATATAGTGCAGCCATTCTGTGCTCATGAGGAAGAGACCCAGAGACCTGGAGCCCTGATGTGTTGGAGCCACAGAATGGGTCTCGGAACCACTCAGTGTCAGAATTCTTGCCCCAAACACAATAAACATTTTAAACTATGATTATGAGTGTTTTGTTTCTTGTATCCAGAGGCACCCTGACTGCCCGACCCCCACCACCATGCCACAGGCAGAGCTGGGAGGAGGAGGGGGTCTCAGGTGTCCTGCGCCAGCCCGGGATGTGCTCAGAAGCCTCTCCGGGGTGTGGATGGGAAAGGCAGAGTGGAGATGGTTTGCATAAACAAGAGAGAAGACTGACTTTTACTCCTGAGGGCTGGAGGCAGGGGAGAATAAGAGTCTCTGCCTGAGATAGCCTGGTTGGAAGGTTTTTCCATCCAAGAATGTGTACTCTGCCCCCAAGGGCTCGTGTGCAGTCATGGAGGCCTTTCTTTCTAGATTGATGGAAGGCCTGCCGCCCAAAAGGGCCCGTGCGTTTTGGTGGGCTAGGTCAAGGACAGGGGAGCTGAGTGGCCCAGGCCAGTCACTCGGGCTCTCCGTGCCGGTGTGGCGGGCCCCCAGTAAACACCCCGGGTGGCCACACTCCACGCATGTGGCCACACTCCTTCACTGGGAGAATTAAGGGCTGTCCCCGTGCCTCCGCAGGGAGTGGACGCCTGGAAGCTTGTGCCTGGTGTCTCCCGGCCCCGTCCGACGTGACCTTTTTCCTTTGCTGATTTCAACCTGCATCTGCTCACAGTAATAAACGGTAACTGTGAGTATTAATAGCTTTTCTGAGTTCTGTGAGTCTTCCTAGGGGATGTCAACTGAGAGAGGTCCTGGGGGTCCCCAACAGAAGCCCCAGTAGAAAAGAAATAG